ATGAGAATAAAAGCTCTCGATATGAATTTGAATATGTAGCTTAAAAACAGAATAGCTGAATTCTAGTTGAAATTATTCCTTCAAAACAAAAAAAATAATTACCAAGAAAACGATACAAATTTATTATTAATCAGCACAAAATGAATCTATTTCAAGTAGTTCGGATGATTCTTTATTTTTGTTTTACGAATAATATAGATACAGAAATATATACTATTCTATAAAGAACAGCAATATTCTATAACTATATATCATACAGTTCTGTGCATATTCTGAATTCTTATTTATTCATTGGAATGACGAAAGCAATGCTGATTTCACTTTAATTTGTAATGAATTGAAGACAGAACAAATTATTTTACCGTAATACACACAATCTGTAACAGCAAGTGATCATGAAATTGGAAGTTATATTGTTGGTAACAGAAAGGTAAAAATTATTGAGAAATTGTTCTTCAAATGCTTGGCGTGTTCTGCTTCAATGTTTGGCATGTTCTGGTTAGTTTTTTCAAGAAGTTCTACCTTTTCCTTAGGGAAATTTTGCTTCTTATTTGCTGCTAATGAAATGGCGTCCGTCATTGCCAATGGCTTTGTGGGAAGTAATGTCCGATATTTTCAGTCTCCCGCTCGATGGCGTACTCGAGCGTTGCGATCGCGAATGCTAAAAGCAAATTTCCTCGAGAAATCGCACCAATTTGCCTAAGAGAACCAGTAAAAAATTATCAAACTATTACAATACAGATTACGCCTAATTAATTTTAGTTATAAATAATAATTAAAATTATTACTAAGTACTCTCTGAAGAAAAATTAATGGAGAAAAGGTCCTAATTCGTTTTGGAGAAACGTAAAAAATCGCCATACTATTATTGACAAAAATGATGCGTAATTAATTTTGCAATGGGCCCCTCTGGTATTAAGATAATTGATCCAGTTTTAATAGATACCAAATATATTAATATAGGTACAATGTATTATGTTAGTATATTCATCATAAGTATTATGTTAAGTATTATAATGTATTATGTTAGTATACTGCATCAATATTTTGAAGCTTTAATGTATAGATACAGTGCAAAGATGATTTTTATAGTCCCTCTAAGGCAGATTTAAGGCAGTGTTTCCCAAAGTGAGGTACGCGTATCCCCAGGATTTACGATTACGTATTTTTGAATTGACTATTTTTTTTGTAGAATTAACAGCTAATAATTGGTGGTGTCAACAGCCAGTTGTGATTTTTAACTTTTGTGCCACTTTTTTATAGTAAAAAATACATTATATATTTTTTTATTAGTGGTACATAGCGTTACGAAAAATTTAGAAAGGGTACGCGAAAGACATAAGTTTGGGAAACACTGCACTAAGGGAATAAGTGCCGGAGTGGTGATTGATTGTTTTGACTATTGATGATCAGATGTCGCGACAATCAGCAGTATCGCGACAAATGATATTGAATTCAGTAATTCTTCATTTTGATGGGATGGACTACCGAGATGGGTTTTGCTCCAACTCTTAAGTCACCGGGAAGGACAAAATAAAATTTTAAAAAATGCAATTACTTCAGCAATATTCATTGTGGAGCATGATTTCGTAGTGTTGTTTTGTACTAATATGCTTATTGTTTACTTTTTTTCTAATTCTCTAATGCAGAAATTTAAGGCTGTATTAGAATCAACTTTCGCATATAATGTGTAAATGGAATTTCTGCTTATTTGTCTAAAAGTTTTGGTTATTGCGTACAATTCGCGATCGCAACGCTCGAGTACGCCGTCTAGCGGGAGCCTGTAAATATCAGACATTAATTTATCAAGTTTTCATTTAGTTCCATCAAAGTCATTGGCAGAATCAGACGCCATTTTTAGCAGCAAATAAGAAACTAAATTTCCCTAAGGAAAAGGCCGAAGAACTTGAAAAAAATCTCCAGAATATTAGTAAATCTTTCAGGAACAGAACACGCCAAACATTTGAAGAAAAATTCCTCAATAATTTTTAATTTCTATTATCAACAAACTTGCAACTGATGACTTCCGATTTCGGATACTGTTACAGATGTGTGTATTAAGGTAAAATGCATTTCTTC